GCCAAGAAAGAGCTAAAAGCAACACAGGATCAGGTTGGCATCTGCAGAAAGAGAACAGACATAGATTCTCTCCTCAGTAGTATCCTGACTGTGGACTTCCAGTCCTTCTGAAAGGATCAGCCTTGGTGCACATCAGAGTCCTTGGAGAACACGTTTGAAATGCGATTCCAGGCCCCCCACCAGATTCAATACTAGAGCCTATGACTCTGTGTAGTCAATGAGCCCTCAGTCCCTTCTGACACATGAGGCCCCGAGGCCACATTTGAGAAATAGGTTTAAAATATAAACATCATCTCTCAAAGAGACGTACACAACCAGAAGCTTTCTTCAGCCAAACACCCACAGTAATGATCTCTTGTCCAAAAAACTCTGGGGTCACCCTGCCTACTGGGCCCTGCCTCCTGTTGCTATTTATTTTTCATGGGCCCATTTATTTCTAGGTTGCAACCTCACAGCTGTAGCGGCTAGATGTTCATTACCCAGCCAACTCTGTGGCACCCAGACCCTCACCTTGGCCTGCAGGTCACCCTGAGGCTTTCCCAGACCAACTTCTCACTGCCCACCTCCTTTCAGACTTCTTTGAAGTCTTGATCTCAAGTCCTCAGGGAATGTGCAGGCAATAGGAAGGGCTAACTTCCCTTGACCTGCTGTAGTTTATTGATAAAATGCAGTGGGTCCAATGGCAAAGCGCACACCTAGCCCCTCAGATCTTGGTTTCTAATACTTCTCGCCGATACAGGAAGCAGGGCTCCTCAGAGAAATGGCTGATTCTAGGATTGGGGCAGGAAATATACAAAATGAGCCTTGAGGATCCTGTAGTGTCAGAAAGTAAGGACTTGAAGCTGCTTAGGGAAAAGATAGTGATGTTTGTTATCCAATAACAAGAAGGGGCCACTGAGACCCCTTCCATTCGGAGGACAGCCATCCAGAGCACCCCGCCCCCTTCCCCCGCGCCTACCAGGTGACCTCAAGCCAGGTTCTCCTGCCCGCCTCAACAGGTCCCAGGTGGGAGAAGGGCGGGGCGGGCGCCTAGGTCCCTGCGGTCACCGCCAGAGGGCAGCCGGGGAGCGCGCCGGGCAGCAGGGCCGAACCCGCGGGTAAGTCCGGCTAAAGTGAGGCCGCCCCGCTTTTAGGGCCCACTCTCCAAGGGCTGGGGAGTGCGTTTGGCTCCATGGCGGGGGCCGAGGGAGCGTGCAAGGTGGCCCTGGCGCGGCGTGCGGGAACTGGGAGCTCTTGGCGCCTGGGGAGGGGGCGAGACCCTGCTGGCCGTACGCGGGCAGCGCCTGGGCGCAGCCCCGGGAACGGTTGGACCTCTGTGTCTGGCCTGCAACCGGGCCGGAGCCCTCTGGGGAGTCAGTCGTGCGCCCCTAGCTGGGGGACCGCGGAAGCGAGGCTGGGGCGGCCAAGTGGGGGAAGGGAGTGGGAGGCGACAGGGAGGGTGAAGGCGTTCGCGGACACCAGGCGGCGCTGGGGTGAGCGTGCCCCGCGAGAGAGTCAACAAGTGCGGTGTTTACCGAGCACCTACCGGTGCGCGCACGTGCGACAGGAGGGGCCCTGCCGCACGTGTTGCTCCACTGCCTGTCCGCCTGGCGTGGGGTGAGGATCCTGCGCTCCAGATGATTGGCGAGGGGTGATGTGGTGGGCCCGCGCCCCGGCCCTTTGACCTTACGCCCATGGTCAGGTGCCCAGAAGTGTGTGTGAGTGCGGGATGGAGGGGTTTCTCGCTGGCCAGACACCCTGATTCACCCTGCCCACTTGTGCCTTCAGCTGAGACTCTTGCCCTGTGTTTTCCAGTCTTCCTGAAACCCACTCCCAGCAGTCAGCCCCACCTCTGTTTTTTCTAGGTTTGGAGGAAGTGTCGAAACCCATTCAGGGCGCCTCACTGCTTCAGGATGAGGGCTCTATGCTCACAATGGTGCCCGTGACACTTGAGCTGTTAGGGCTGAAGCCTCCTCGGGTTGCAGCCAGGGCTCTGCTGGGAAGTCTGGGAATTTTGTCCCCTGCCTGGTTGCTCAGAGGCTGAAGACCTGATTTTCCCACCTGGGTGGTCTGTAACCCTGGGGAGAGGTATGACAGTCGCAGAAGAGGGAAACCCATGCTCAGTAAGGTCAGGGCAAGGGGGATTCCGTGAAATGTGAATGATCAGGCACCATCTGTGCAGCCAAGTGAAAGAAACCTTTGATCCTCCCAGCAGTCTGAGGGCTGGGGGAGTCAGCCCTGGCTACCCTGGTAAGATCATTGGCAGAGCCAGGGCTGCAGTCCAGTCTCTGCCCCTCCCTGCCCCCACACTTTAGAGATTGTGCCCTTACCAGGTCACCATGTGCCTCCATCCTCCTGCCCATCCACTTGGCCTCCCATCTCTTGGGGAAAAAAATGTGCATGGGAGCCATAAGCTTCATTTCCTCTTTTCTCTCACTGTCACATTTTCCTGACAAGTGCTCTGCACCTACTGCCTGCTTCTCTGCTCCACGCCTCCCCTCATAATCCTCCGCAGCCTGGCTGCTGGCCCCACCACTTTGCTGAAGCTGCTTCCCTGAAAATCATCTTGTTTTCAAACACTACTCTTTTGTCCGCCTTGTCCATCTGTCCATCTGCCTGGGAGGCGGACCCCTGTGTGCATGCGTCCTCTTTGCAGCCTTTTCTGCTGTGATTTCTGGGGCACCCCTCTGTCCTGGCTTTGATCTTAGTTCTCCATTGTTCCTTTTCTTCTGACCTCTCTTCCATCTTTTCTGGGGCATTTTGTGAGGCCTTGTGTTTAGTTTCTCAGGGAGCTCTCTCCTGGATTGCTCAGGGAACTCCCCCTCTGGAATCCAGCTCCAGTCCCTGCTCTTTCGAGTACCCAGTGACACCCCAAATTCAGCACATCCAAGGCTGGCCTACTCCTTCTCCTGGGCAGCTGCCCTCACTTATTCCTCAGCAGTGGGTTCCTCCTCCTCTGTCACACTCACTTTTCTCTGAAGTGTCTCTACCTCTCCAAGTCCCTTTGTGACTAGGTCTTGAACATCTCAGGCCTCGCTCATGCCAGAATCCCCTCCAGCCCCCACAGTCCATTTGGCATGTTGCCTCTAGCCCGATGGTCCCTTACTATTTTGTTTACTCTGTCGCTGAACCCCGTGCCCTGAGAAATCTTCAGAGGCTTTGGGTTTCCCCCAACACAAGCTGACTGCTCTACCTTATGTGGCCCCTTAGTCATGTGGCCTCACTCTCTAGAACCAATTTCCTGTCCTGCAACTTCTTCCCTCCTTTCCATGGCTGGCCCTCTTGCCCTTACCCTTTGGAATCCAGCTCAGAAGCCATTTTCCTGGGAATTCTTTGCCTCCCCCAGCTGCACTGCGGGCTCCTTTCCTGGCCTTCTCCACTGTGCCCTCGGGGCCACCATTACAGCTGCCTGTCTGCTGATTGCAGGTCCCTTTGTGTCACTGAAACCTCTTGCCATCCTTCTGGAGTCTCAATAAAGGAATTCCCTCTCCCAAACTTCCA